AATTACACAGGCAGCCCTTTCACACTTGGGTTCTCGAGCCCCGAGTTGATTATTTTCACCTGCATTTGGTAGCCTTACTTGTAGAGTAAATATTTGTTTAGTCTTGACCCATTTAGTACAGAGGTTATGGAAAAAGCATTCAAGATGCAACATTCTAAAGCAGTATTTAGGATGGTGTATTTTTGTGGCATCCAGTGTATATAAACACTTGGTTAAAAAGTTCTGTCTTATATAAATCTGGGACTGTGGTGGAGACATGTAATCCTTATGAAGATAGTATAAAATATGTGTTTGTAGTTCTTGGGCCATTTATATTGCCAAAGGATGGAGGCACTTTTGGAAAAAAGGTGGTCTTGAATTGAGTGTTGGAGGCGGCTTAATGGAATTGAGAGTAGAAATGGTCTCACTCGTTTAAGCCAGTGTGAGGATGTGACCATGAGGGAAGGGAATATATTAAGTCTTTGGTTTTCAAAGAAGCATGGGAAGGCAGTGAGACTAGACGAAGGTAAACTTAGTGAAGGACCTTAAGAGGTTTACATGTGTTTCTGTTTTGTTTTCAGCTGTGGCTGTAATTTCTCCTGTCTCCTTAATATTAGAAACCATGCTTTCAGCTTGTAGACTCCCCCAACATCACATCCTTTGCCTGTTCCCTTTACCGTTTATATGCGATTACTCCAAAAACTATAACGTAGAGCACCGTCACATTAGCTTAGAGATGACAGAATATTTTTATGTGATGTATAAGGTGTTATGCAACTATTGGTAGCATGGTCACTAGAAGAGTATTATAATGACCTTAATGATAAAATTTTACCAAGAAGTCCAAAGATTTGGAAACTGTCTAGTATGGTTACAAATACACTAAATTTGAGTACTTGATTGAATGATGGTTCTTTTCATAATGGCTGAAAAATAGGGCAATGTGTGGTTTTATCCGGAAAAGATTTATGTCTTATGTTTTATTTAAGCTTATGATGAAATATCCAGGAAACCTTTTGTGATATGTAAATGTGTAACATGGACTTTTTTTTTAATGTGCGTTTTTCACGGGAATTTGGTATTGTAAAGGGTGAGGTCTATGAGGTTGAGAACAAGAGCTGTAATTATCTTCAAGATGGTGTTTTTAAAGAAAATATTAGGTTAGTCATTTCTTTGCCTTTTCTTTTTTTCAGTTTCATCTCAAAGGGCAGGTGCCCCATACACACGACTACCCCTTTCCCCAGCTCCCAAACCCTAGGTTCCTATACATTATCACCTTACACTTTCTACTCTGGTGTTAGAAAGAGGTTCCTCTTTGATTTTTGGCCTTTGGAGAGGTCCTTTATTTTCTTATGAACTTAACTTTGCCTTTAGACAGATGTTTCTAAAACTCCACCCGGAATTTTTTGACTGTTTTCAACAGATGGTCCCAACTTAATGATTGTTCGACTTTATGATGGTGCTAAAGCAAAATATATTTGATAAAAACGGTACTTCAAATGTTGGATTTTGATTTTTTCGAAGCTAGTGATGTATGGTAGGATACTTGCGATGCTAGGCTGGGCAGCCACCACAGCTTTCAGGCAGCCATATGATCATGAGGGCAAATGGCCGTACACTTACAGCCCTTTTGTACCAGACAACCTTTCTGTTTTTCACTTTTAGTGCAGTTTTCAGTAAATTACCTGAACTACTCAGTATCTTATTATAAAATAGGTTTTGTGTGAGGTGATTTTGCACAACTCTATTCTAATATAAGAGTTCTGAGCATGTTAAAGGTAGGCTAGGCTAAGCTGTTGTCTGTAGGTTAGGTGTGTTAAATGCATTTTCAACTTAGGATATTTTCAGTTTACAGTGGGTTTACTCAAGAGGAAGATCTGTATTGGGGAGGATTTTCACGTTATCTCGTCCATAACGTTGCCAAGAAAGAAAGCCCCCCTTATTTTCTCCGCTTTAGAGGACTTCTGTGCTTTTACTCTTTTCTTCCTCTGTTCTTTCTTCCAAGAAGTAGCCCGACTAACACGTGACCGCATTTTTTCAAATGTTATTAATTGTTATATCCTTTTCTCTTTTTACCTTTAGCTTCTCCCAGAAGCTCTTATTAGCTTATTGCTTTCTTCCTGACTATATGTTTGCATTGTTCTCATCTCAGTAATAATAATCTTGCTTACTCAGCAGTGTAAATATCAGCGTGTCAGAAACTGACCTCACGATGACCTCTGTTGTATTAGGTGGGGTGCTTCTGACAGGTAAAACTACTCAATCCAAAATGACTTAAGTAGTGGAGTTTATAACTGTCCAGTAGCAAGAAGTTTAGAGATAGATGATTTTAAAGCTAGTGCAGAGTCATAGTGATGTCTTTTGAGAATGTATCCTTTTTCCCTCTATTCTTAGTATTTTGTCAAGATCTCTAGGCTCATTGCCTCCTGTTTGCTGTATGGTTGCTGCAGCACCAGACATCATGCCTATGTAAGAAAGGAAGGGAAGGAGTATATTTCCTTACAATTCCCACTTAACAGAGAGGAGTCTTTTCCAGAAGGTCACCTTGGAGATTTCCCCTTCAGTCTCTTTGAGTAGAGTTGACCTCATGCCACTGCTGGTTGTGAGGGAGGTGGAGAAAGTGAGTCTGGCATTTTGAGCTTCTGTTGTGCGGTGTGGACTTTGCTAAGGTGGAAGAAGGGAATGCTCTGAGTTGACAGCCTACAATTATATCCCTGATTCAGCTACTTTTTTTAACTGTCTCTGGCTTGGTCTCAATCTTTTTTATCTGTTGACTTGTTTTCTGCCTCATTCTAAAATAATTAGAGGTGACTTACTAAATATAGATAAAATCCTGTCAAGAGAAAGAAATTATAGATTTTCAGGCTGCACATAAATGCTTGCCATATGTTAGAAATGGGCCATATATTTGGCTCTGAGCTTCCTAGTTGCCAAAATAAAGAGGAAAACAAGACCAGTTAATTTTATTCATTTGGTTAATGAAACTGCACTTCATTTAATAATGCAGGCTGGAAGCTTAGACATTTCTCATCCTGCCTTTCCCTGGTTGCAGCAAGTCAGAGGCCACATCTCTTCCCATGCCTGTCCCCTCTTTTCTATACCTAGTGCCATCACCCTAGGTCTGATCCATCCTTTCTTGTATTGTAATAACCAGTAATCCTTTTACCAGGCTCAGCCTCCTAACTTTATCTTCTCCATCACCAGTTAATTATCTTTGCCTTTATGACTCCCCTACTCAGAAACCTCAAAGACTCCCATTTGTTTACCGAAATACAGTCTCCTCAGAAGCTGGAGTTGGACTTGTTCTCTAGTTTAAGCTTGATCTCTTCCTCCCAGATTGCTCCCCCATCGCCCACTGCCCTCTATGCTACGTCTGTGGAAGTTCTCTTCATGGCGTTACTTGTTCCCTCTCCAGCAAACTTCCTCATTGAGCCTCCAAAAGGCTGTTTATTTCTCTTCTCAGCTTTCTCTTATTTAACAATAACTGCTTGTTTACGTATTTGTCCCCTCCCCAATTAGATTATAACCCCTGTGGGGTCTGGGACTGTCTTCCTTAGTGTCCCCTTTATGGTGCAGCATGATGCCTCTCTTAGGTCCTCAAATACATAATGAATTGGACTTTAACAGTCAACTCTTGACTAGTTAGTGGATTATCTGGAATGTATTCATTCTTCCTCCTGCTCTCCAGCATGCTTCTGAGTCGTCTGTTGTTGTCTTTGGATTTTTTTTCCTCGAGTTCAGACTTTCACTTACTCATCATTTTCTGCCGTTTTTTGACAAAGGTGTCTTATGCAAACCAATTTAAATAATACTTCCTTTTAAATACATGCAGATACCAGTTTTGAAGAATGTCTGTGGCGTGGAGAGACTCTCAAGGACAGAGTAGAGTGCTGGTGATGTGCTGAGGGACCTGTGGACAGGACCCGTGTCCATTTCTGACCTATGTAGCAGGCCTAGGTGGGGACGGCTGAAGTAAGGCTTGGCAAGTTGGATGGTAAGGGGCTTAATGTTTCTACTTTCCCGCTCTTTTTGTTTCATGACCAAATTCTGGCCCTAAGGGTTTCTTTCTTAATGTTAACAATGCACTGAGATAACTAAAAGTCTTCCTTTAGTTAGAAAGTAAACTTTGTTAGTTGGAGGTGAATTTTCTGAGAATCTGACATTAATGCTGATCTCTTTTTATAGGTGATCAACTTGATTTGGTGTCAACAGCTTTTCATAGCTTATTTTTGAGATTCAGTGATCTGAATCTTTCCACTCTGGTTGGACTCTGGGGACAGTGTCAGTGGTGGGAGCTGCCTTTGCCAGTGGTCAGGCGGGACTCTAAGGCACACATCAGTCATGCCACTGATGCGACCTAACCACATCTTTGTCCCCCCACCCACTCCCACAAATTCTTGGAAGTGTTAGAGATGGAAATTATATTGGTAGAATATTTATTTTGTTTAGCTAAAAATCATCTGATAGTCCAATTGCTTTATGACTCGACTTTATTGAGTATAAATTTACATTCTATAAGATTGTACCTATTTTATAAATGTGTGTGTGTTCTAACCACTAGCAAAATTCAGATATAGAATATTTTCATTACCCCGAAGTTCCCTTGTGTCCCCTCACTGTACTTCTCTACTTCCCACCACAGTTTTTGGCTTTTAATATATATCACCTTAGGCCTCCTCTGTATTAGCTGATTTGTCATTTTGCTGTTCGTGGAGATATTATAGAATAAAACGGTGTAATAATCACTCTGTCTTTTTTACTGAACTATTAAATCCAAAGAAAAACTATCAGTGCTGTATAAATTAGAAATCTGATAATTAATACTTTACTACATAGAACTGCCTTGAATTAGATGGCTTGATCTCTTCAAAGATTTTCTGGTGGATGGCTTTTGCTTCTCTGTGGGCCAAAGATACACAATGCTAGAATTTGCTCCTTGGAGATAATGATGTCTTCTGTCATCTGCGTCTGGTTGGGAGGCAGGAAAGCATAGCAGTTAAGTGTAAACTCTAGAGTCAAAATGCCTGGGTTCAAATTCTGTTTGCCTCTATTAGCTGTGTGACCATGGGTAAGTTACTCAGCTACTCTGTGTAAGCCTCAGATTCCTCAGGCATTAAAAAATACCTGTTGCAGGGTATGGGGTTGTTGAGTCAACAGTGTTTGTTGAACACTTGCTGTGTACCAGGCCCTGTTCTTCATCTGTCCTGAAGTCACATTTCAGCGTTGGGGAAGAGGCAGATGATAAGCAGGCAGATCAGGCAGTATGTCAGGTGGTGATAAGTTTGTTAGAGAAAAGCGAGCAGGGAAGGGGAGAGGACAGGTGCCCCTCTGTGTACAGGGGCGGGGAGCCTGAGCCGGGCTGTTGTCATTTTACATAGCTAGGTCAGGGAGGGCCTCCCTAAGAAGCTTTTAAGACATGACCCAGTGGAGGTGAAGGGGCATTCCAGGGAGAGGGGACACAAATACAGAGGCTCTGAAGGGGAGCAGGCCTGTGTTTGACGGACAGCAAAGAGGCTGGTGTGCTTAGAGTGGAGTTGGAGGTTGGGGAGAGAGGGAGAAGCAGGAGGCAAGATCAGAAGTGATCCCGACGATTGAATGAGATAAAGCACATAAAGCCTTTAGAGAAATGCTTGGCACTTTGCTGTCTTTATTGCAAATGATTACTGTGTAATGTTAGTTTCTTCATTAGGCTTTAAAAGGAGACTTTTGAGAGGAAGAGAGTTTCTAAGAAAAGAACCAACTGAGGCGTTCCCTCACTCAGTCACTCAGCAGCCATTGCTTTCAGGTGCTGCTGTAACAGACACGACTGAGCTGGGGTCCTTGTGTGGAAGGACGTCCTTCCAGCGGGTTTAATGCTGAGGCAAGAAGTACTGGGCAGTTGAAGTACGGGTTGGGGCCAGTCAGAGGGATGCCCAGGGAGCTTTGAAAGTAGGCGGTCATTAGATTTGACTTCAGGGAAGGTTTAGCGGTTGTCATGTGGCTTTAGCTTTTGAAATTTTATTAGAGGAAGAAAAGGTGGGTGTGTAGGGGGTAGGGGGTGAGGTGGGAGGATGCTCCCAAGCAGAGGGACAGCCTGGCCAGAGCAGTAGCGTGGGGGTTGGGCCAGAGTGAAGGGGAGTGAGGTGGAGGGTGGGCAGGAGCCATGTGGGGAGGGCTGAAAAGAGGCACCAGGGAGGGTTGATGAGTAGGAGGGAGGTGAGAGGAGAGAGAAGTCAGAGGATGTGGGGCACACGGAGAGAGGAGGCATGGGATGGGGATGTTGACACACATCAAATATACAGTGATTATTCCTGGGCCAGCTGCCTTGCCTGCGTTAACTCATTTAATCATCACCACAGCCTCTGAAGTAGGTTCTGTATGTGCTGTTTGTCATCCCCATTTTACAGATGAATAAGCTGAGGTACAGAGAGATTAACAAACCTTCTCAAGGTCACACAGCTGGTAAGTGGTGAGCTGAGATTCTAACTCAGGCACTCTGACTCCTTGGTCTTGGTGCCCCACCACTGCCTATGAAATATTACAATTTCATTTGTGCTTTTCATTTAATCCTTGTGGTAACCTGGCAGGCAGATTGGAATTCCATATTTTGTCACTGGCCTACCAGTGGCGAGGGCAGAGCCAGTTGATAAGATTATCTGCATTTTGTTTGTGGTTCTTTTCTTTTTGGAATGGGTCCCAACAGAATCAGGATCTAGGATGAATTCCTTCTTTCCCACTCCTCCTCTTCCCCTCATTTCTACCATCTTACAACGACAGTGGGTATTTAAAGACAGATTCTAGCTGGGTGACTGATTGTGGCAAAGAAAAGTATTTTTCTTAACTCACTAGTGAAAAAGTCATTTTTAGTCTTCTTAGATTTTATTTTAAACAGACATTCGTACTAAATACTTTTTGGACACACACTTTATATTATTTTTAAAGATGAGTGACATCTAACAACATTGCAGAAAAGCCAGAAAACGTAAAACCTGCCTTTTAGTAGAACAACTAGTGTCATTTTGGTGTAACCTCTTTGAAATGATTCTCTTCTCTTTTTCTGTAGTTGTGGGTGAGTTTAAGTCTTTTTCCCCTTTAAGATCTCTTTCTACAAATGCCATTCCCAAAATGAGACCACAGATTACTTATTCTTAATTAAACAGGAAGCTGAGAAGGATAGTTGTAAATTCAAGTCCAGACAACTGGCTACTGAAGTGAGAGTTTTAAAGACCTTTTTGCCCGGCCTTTACTTTTTGTTCTTCTAGGTTCAGTCTGTCTTAGTCTCTTCTATGTTCTAATAATTATAGGGGTTAAAATAATGAACCTTTATTAGTGGTTGGTACGGGTCAGCACTGTGCTGTCCTTGGCCGGCACCGTGTCACTGACTTCTCACAGCAGCCTGCTCTTCTGGCTCTGCAGATGAGGACGCGGGGGCCGGGCTAGGGGCAGGGTCACTCGGCTAGGATGCCACAGAGCTGGGACTCGAACCTGGGGCTTTCCGATGCCAGAGCTACACTCTTTAACCTACATCTAGGCTCTTCTAGCATTAGTAAGATTAAAGGATGATTTTTTTTCCCTCTGAGCAGTGGAGTGAATCTGTGTTCTTCAGTGGTTAGGGTGGGGTGAAGAGAATGAATCTAGGGCCCTTTGTACCTTGTCCCATTGGGAGGACAGCCAGACTGGCTGTCTGGGAGTGGTCGGCTCCTTTGAGATGGCAGCAGCAGGCTCAGGCTGGGTGACATGCTGCCTGTCTTGGGCAGGTGGTTGCTCCCAGCCTCTTTCACGGGTCCTGTGAGACTTAGGAGGAGGAAGCCAGCGTTGATGTGCTCTGATGGCTCTACCTTTGGATCTTGTATTCAGTGAAAACGCTGAGTCACCTGTGATGACCTGCTCTCCACCCCCTTGTCATTTTTCCCCTTTCCACGCTCACCTTTCTGGCTTTGCGCCTTGTAAATAGCAAATATTTATTGATAAGGAGAATGATGTTAACCCCTTCCTCGCTGCTACTTTGTTTCTTTTGGACCTTGAAGGGCTTGGATCTTGGTCTTTTTTTTTTCCACGTGCAGAGGGGCTACCTGTGAGTGATTTGGACTCCCCTCTGGCCTGTGCTGAGATTGTGAGCATGGATTGGTGGCCAGAGCTTGGGGATTGAGTCGAGGGTGGGGATAAATCGCTCCTCTCTGGTTGCACATTAGAGCTACCTGGGCTTCTTGAAAAAATGTTTGCTGACCACACTCCTGTTTTTATTTAAATTGATCTGGATGGAGCCCCAGGCACTGGCAGTTACTCAGACTCCCCAGGTGATTCTGACGTGCAACCGCTGTGTCAATTTCAGCAGCTTAGTGTGTGAGCGGGGTTTGGTTTGGACGCGGGGAAGAGGGCTCCAAAGCTGTGGCTGCCCTGCCTGGCCCTGCCCCTGCCCCTGCCCCAGGCTGCCTGCCCTACGCCCTGCTCTGTGCCAGGCACCTTGCAGCACTCGTTCATCTGATCCTTGCAGTGTCCTTATGAGGCTGGCACTGTTAACTATCCGTTTTATGGATAAGAAATTCCTCCTTCTAACAATGAAGGGCATGGGGTATGATGCTGACCTACAGACCTGGCTTTTGGCTTTTCCTAGTTTTGTGGTATAGAAAACTCGTTTCAGATGTTTGTTTTAATAATTTGGCCTCAAATGTGAATATATTTGTTTTTACAAATGAGACATATCCTTGTGCCCCCTCTTATAGCTAAATGTCAGTTGGTATACAGAAGTATAAACACAATACCGGTTAAAACATTGCTTTTTATAGTGTCAAAAGTAGACTTCATTTTATGATAGATTTTGAATTTCAAGACATTTTGAGGTGAAGTGCATTCTATACTTTAAAAATCACAGATACTCTGTATGTTTGAGCTCATACATAGATCTGCCCGACTTGTAATCTGGCCCGCTCTTTACACTCTGGCTTCTGTAACCCTCCAGGATACTAAGCAAGTTGGATTTCAGTATTTTAAACGTGCTCAAGTCTCCCCATCATA